CACTATTCATTACAAACTAGTGTAAACATACCCTTTGAAACCGAGAGGTATGTGCATGAAAAAATGAATATATCTCTTTTACACTCTGAAACTGAGATGTGGCATGGTTTCACGGGCTTTTTCATGACTGCATAAAGAGCACTGTTCTATGTCTAAACCAATAGGTATGGAGGAAGAAGCTGACCAATTCCTGCTCTATGTAAAAACATCAGGAACAGGTTTTGTGGGAACTTCTGCTTATATCCAATCAAGTCTGAGGTCTACCATTGGGACTACCAAATGTAGGTCCTCACAACCTCTGAGGGTGCTTGCCATAGATGCAGGTGAAACGTCAGGAGAGAATGCTTCTGGAACATGGCCATACAGACCGAAAAACTTACAGCAACTAAGTACTGCACAATAAAACAGGAATAACACTTTCAAAATGTTTCAAATTTTGTTAAACAGTGTAATAGTGAAGCCTACTGAAATGAACAAGTTCGAGCAGAAGCATACCATCAAATCACCTGAAAGTTCTAGAAAATGCCTTGAGATAATGTTTTATATATGGGTAAATGAAATTGTGCTACTTATGAGTAAGTATCTGCTATCATAGATATCAGGATTGCACTATATGTAATGCATTCTCTGTGTAACTGTTAGTAAAAAAAACAAAAAACAGCTATATGTTCCTATATGAGGAATTAGTTCAGATCCAAATTACACTCTCCTGAGATATCTGAAAGAAGAATAAGAGATACAGACAGGCATGAAAGGGGGAGAATTTGGAATAATACTGCAAATTCTATCCTTTTAATTTTGTCAGTTGTGAGTTGACCTGAAAAGGGTAATCGGCACTGGAAGTGTGGAACATCAATGTAAAAATATATCAATGCCTTGCCATATATTTGTGACATTGACATTAAAATGTGTCATGGGTCTTAGAATTAAAGCTACAAAAACAGCTTACTAGTAAGAAAGGATTATTTACTAAATGCAGTTTGGTCTTGTTCAAAGTTAATATAACAGTATTTGTCATCCAGAACTTCCGCTCTTTTGCCAGAATTGCTTATCCAGTCCTGGTGAAGTAACTTGGTATCTGAATATGCTGTTTTTTGAATTCTGCAAGAAAAAGCCTCCTAAAGGAGTTTTGAATTAAGCTAAATGTTGCTCTACCTTTAGGAATCCGAACACGGGCAGATCATGTTCTATATATTAACCAATAATTTGTATTCTGCTGAAACCAGAAACCATTCTGCAGATGGTTTACTGCTAACTCTGAGAAAATACAGGATACATATTAAGATGTATAAATCATCTAAAAGTTGACTTGCATGTTCTAAAGAAGGATGTATCTTGAAAACAGAAACACAGAGAATTACCTCCTTTGAAATATAAAGCTGCACAAATTTGTCTACATTTTATCTATAATATCCTACATCTTTGTCTTTGTTTCTGATTTCTCCTCAGAAAGGGAATCGGATGCTTTGTCTATAGGTGCTACAATATGCAGAGTGATCCAAGGAGGCTTACATTTTAACATCTTGATTCAACTAGCTCAAGGTTGCATACTTGCAAGAGGGTATTCACTTGTTTTTTGTTGTCCAAGCAATTATGAACAACTGCTTGAACATCTTCTGCCATTACTGAACCATGATATATGCCAGTGTTACTGTGTTTCTGGTGATATTCATTCTGCAAGTGATTAATCCTGATGTGTAGCAGCAATGCCATATTACATGGTTGTAGACTTCACAATATTTCTGGATTCCATTTAAGCAAAATGTAGCTCAACCATTGAGCAAGAGCATGAACTTAACTACACTTATATTTTTAATGTCTGAAACAGTGTTCCCCAGTATCAAAATTCATCAGAGCAAAATTTTGTATGTCCCAAAAATTTCACCTAGAATCATAAAATTCATCCATTCTGTTTTTACTTGAAATGAAGGAAAACTGATTTGGAAACCATGCTATATGCAAAAAGGAACACATAGCAATCCCCCTTTCTTCATTAGTTATTTTAAATATGTTTCTTCATCCATTTTTTTAAAATTCCAAAATGTTAAGATTCTATTTTTTTTAAAAGCAGAGAACCATGTTAAAAATCACATTACTCAGTTATGGTTTCAAATAACTTTTTGGAATGTATTCAGTTCACAAAAGATTAGCCATGGTCTCATGCTGATTTATGCCCCTTCAGTTATTGCTTGTTTGGCAGAGGTATTTGACCCATAACAGTGTGGCAGCTATGTATTGTACAGACTTGTGTAAAATTGTTCTCACATGTGTTCACCAGACCATCCGCAGATGAGACAACCAGGAACATAATAAATCAACTAATGGACATGGGTCTGTGTAGTTTTTCATCAGAAACTGTTGGTTAACCTTATTTTAAAAAAGGATAGTAGGTGGCCTAAGCAGAAAAGTTGATAATGAGCCTCATTTTTTTCTAGTCAGAGAGAAACCAACATTTGACACAAACACAGAGCTCTCAGCTACAATCTCAACAGACTCAAGTTATTTCTGTGTTGCTGGGCCAGAATATTAAAGTAATGAGGTCCGAGTAGATGTATTGCAAGGAAATATATAATATGAGTAAAAGTTTACTCTATAAAATAGTCAAAACATACAAAAAACCCCATTTCCAATTCTGTCCAATGAAGTATTTCATTGCATTATGGCACAAAGCAGCCAAATGAATCCAGCAGGGTTAGATTACTTTCTTTGTGCTATAAAAATATTACTGTGACATTTCATCTGGTCAACCATCTCAAAGGTTAATTCTGTTTCCTATACCACATATTCCTCTAGGTGAGCTATTCTGTACAGTTCTTATTTACCTATTCCAAACAATCCACAAACTGTTTCATTGCTCACTCTCTCACTGTTAAGAACATATTGACTTACTGCCTGCTCTGCTGTTTAATTCATTTATGCTGAGAGTCAGGCATGAAGACAGAATTTTAAATGTGACATTTGCAGGCTGCTGGGTCATTTGAAGCTCTGACAACACCAAGGGAGTTTCCTGACATACAAACTGGTCCTGATTTCCAATCTTCCATGTTCTGAACACATCAGATATTCTTCCCGGAGGTGCAGATTTCAGCCTAAAGTTTTAAATTTCCTCTGGGTTTAACATCTTGGAGGAAAGGGCTGTACACTTGAAAGTTTTAAAATCAACCCTGTGTTTCCTTTAAGTTAAAGCTGGCATTGCCTCCAGCAAGCAAATTCAACTGCGGGAAGCCACTTTGATTGACAAAGATATTTGGAAACAGACTTACAATAATAATTAATACCCAGAGGATATTCCAAGCAACTTTGTCACTTGGTAGACTTCCATTTTTCCTGTTGCTCTCCCCTCATTCTAAGGCAGCTGCATACAAAAGCCGCAGCTGCAGATAATGGACCATTTAAACAACAACGGCAAAGTCCGGCCATGTGCGCCAGCAGTTAAATGTGGTCACAATTAGGATGAAATACCTACACACCAGATCCTGCTTTTTCTCAAGGGAATAACAGCACTGAAAAGAAATTACAACTAGTCAAAATAGAAACTACTTGCACATTACTGAAAATACTATTGGATGAAGAACCTTTTCCCAATGACCCTTCTGTAGAGCTATATTTCCTGTTTTTTTGTTTTTGTTTTTTGGCATCATTTATGAACCTTCTCAAATAACGAAATTCAGAACCCATCCACCTTTGAGTTCAAGATTCCTATTTTGGAATATCTTCCCTAAAGATAGTACAGGGTTCTTTAAATCCCATTCAGTACTAAGATAGCATGCATTTATTTTTCTGGGCATTTTAATCTGTATATTCCCTCAGTGTGCCTCTCGATTTTTATGTGCCGTCTTCTATTGTGGTTGTCAGACGTAAGCATTTTAATATTCTGTTATCCTGCATTAGATTTTTAATAATTCATTATCTATCGCTGTTGTACTCCATCCTGGGATCTGGCACGATAAATGGTGAGCATAAAAATGCTTTAAATAATGAATAAATGAGTTCTTTACATTTCCAACAGAGACTGGCTATACGGAGCATGGGTTGGCTGATATTCACGACAATCATTAATCTATTTCACTTCCTCACATCCAGCTGTGTTTGCTGCCCCTTGTGGCATTCACAAAGGCACTTTCCATTCTTGCTGTTTTAATTGTGCTTTTTTTCAAAAGAGGCTGGCTTTCCTTAAATGAAATTTTAGCAAAGCAACGAGTAAACAACATTTGGTGTGATCGAGCCTGAGATACATTTAGCTCAGTATTGAAAAACTTCTCTCCTCTCTAAAATATAGAATTAAAGATGCAACCCATAGATAATTAAGGCAAATGAGCCACCAAACTAGGAAATACCAACATTTTATGTACAGCCAACTGTGTCTGAGAAAGAGTGATGCTTCTAGCCTAGTGCCATTTCACGGAAAGCCAATTCTAAAGAAGCAAGAATGAGAGTAGCACTCCATCTATACTACTGGTTCTCAACCTGTGGGTCCCCAGGTATTTTGGCCTACAACTACCAGAAATCCCAGCCAGTTTACCACTCGTTAGGATTTCTGAGAGTTAAAGGCCAAAACATCTGGGGATCCACAGACTGAGAATCACTTTTCTATGCCATGCCTCCTATTCCTGCCCAGGTCTGCCACAAACTCTGCCACTTCATAAATACCACGGGTCGGCTCCTGATATGAACATTTTACAAGCCTGAGGTCAGAGACTGTATCTTCTTTTATCTTTGCTCCAGCACTAGATTATTATGATGCTTAACAACAATGGAAACTCTAATCTGGACAACATGACATCCCCTGTGAAAATCAAAAAGATCTTCCTGTTGTAATGCTTTCAGTAATGTTGCAAACCTAGACAGAAATACCTTCTCTTGTACTATTTCAAAATATAAATTACAATGATGTAAACCTTTTATCAGGCAATAAAAGCTAGCAGAAGTATTTTATTTCCTAGACTGAAGTGCTTACTTATTCTTGAGGCAAATATAGAAAAAATGTTATAAATTAATACCTGATGTATTATTTGTGCCACTGGAAGCTGTTCTGCATACTTTAGTGGTTCGGCTGCTATTTCATCTTCTACAGGCCTGAAAAGGAAATAAATTTTAATCAGACACTGAGATAATATTGAACAGGACAAAACCACATACCTGTAGTTATTGCTGGCCTTTAAATGTACAATTCTCCAACCAACCTCAAATCTTTACTTTTCTAGCATTAAAATAAGTTTAAATGCCTTATATGCTCAATTAAATGCCATCAACTTTTTTGAGTCTTTATACTGGACAATGCTTTTAGTTCTTTAGTTTTTATGATGTTTTGTATTTATAATTTTTACTGTGTTATACTTTAATATCTGTCTGATCAGGCTTGTCCCCATGTAAGCCGCCCCGAGTCCCTTTGGGGGGGGATGGTGGAGGGATACAAAAATAAAGTTGTTATTATTATTATTATTATTATTATTATTATTATTATTATCCATATCAATAATAGTTCTGTAAAAGGTATTAAAATGGCAGGGGTTTTTCCCCCCATTTTTTTCTTTCTGTGAGAAATTTTGCAAACACTAGGCCTTCAAAATAATTCATATATTTGGGAAAAGGTAATGAACAAAATGTCAAAAAAGTTTTATCATAAATTTATATTATTTTGGACCAAATATACACTTAGATGGCATAGCTAAAATTCATTTTATGTCTGAACATTAAAGCATGTTTCAAGAATTTCTTTCTTTCATAGAAGTTGTACATGTGTACTCAAATTGTCTTTTATCAATGAGAAATCTTTTACTAAGCCTGCTAATGAAGTGATCTAGTTGAGAACAAGTGAATTAGAGATGTATACTAGGTGTGGCAAACAGAGAAAAATAAAGAATTGGTTGGTAAGCATAAACATGTTTGCCATGAAATACTCCAAGAATTTAATTATTGAGGTTAAACCACATATTTCATATGTACTCAATCTGGCTGTTACTACATTTAGGAAAAAGAAATCAAGTCCTCTAGTCTGAAATGTAATTTAAGATTGGATATGATTCTCTTTCCTTTCACTTATCTGTCTAATGTTTTCAGCTATTTATTTATTTGTTTGTTTGTTGTGTCAGGAGTTTTCTCAAATACATTGGTTCACTCCTGACACGATAAATAAATAAATATTGGCATTCTATTAAGTGTCCTTTGACCAGTAGCTGGCCACTTGGAGTGCTTCTGGTGTTGCTATAAGAAGGTCCTCCATTGTGCATGTGGCAGGCTCAGGTTGCATTGTAATAGGTGGTCTGTGGTTTGCTCTTCTCCACAGTAGGTCTTTCTGCTACTGATGAATGCTATTTGAAACAATCAACGTTTGGATTAGCAAAAAGCAACAGGGACGTTTTCCGCAAACAAAAATTGATATATGTTCTGGGGTACTGTCCTATGCTTGCTTTGTTTTCCCATAAAAGTGAATAAGTTCAGCATTCATTTAACATAAATGCCTGGTAAATCTAGTTTATTTACTGAACTACTGAAATATCTAAAGCTTAAACTTTGAATCCCACCCCGCTTTGAATCCCACCTATGGGAGAAGGCAGCATAAAAATGAATTAATAATAATAATAATAATAATAATAAAACACAAAACTCTCCATAACATTACAGCTCTAAAGGAGAACATGCCATTTCATTCTCTTTCCTTCTTCTGCTGAGATGGCCAGTAGCAATTCTAAATTGTGGAAATGTTCTGAAAGGTTCTTTTCCAAGTAGAAGAACTTAGATACAAGAAACACACACTTTCAATGCTTTCAAATGTGTTTCTCTGCCCAGCCATTTTACCACTCAAACTTCGATGCCTTGGGGGGGTTGTTTTCATCTTTCCTTACATACAGTTTTGAACTTCCCAGCGTTCTCAGAAAAGAGACACCAAGGTATTTCTTAATCAGAGCCAGTTATGGACTTTATATGCAAAAGCCAATCAGAATTTAGGCATGGCAGTAATCAAGGTAATAGGATGAACCCACTGTGTGATTTCTGGGTAATAGCTTCAGTGATTATAGAAATTCTTGCAACTCTGATTGGCTGCCAGCCATTATGGGCCTGCCAGGGCAACAAGATCTGCATTTTGCATAGTTATTCAGAAGCAACAGGAGGATGATTATGTAAATCAGGCATTCTCAACAAGAGTATAGGGAATTTCCACAGCTGTGGGTGGTAGGAAGAAATGGTAAAGATACAATACATTCTGGACTTTCAATATTTTAAATTTAGAGATATAGTCAAACATTTCAGACATTTGGTTTGAGAGTTCATGAGCTAATTGCTCAAGACATATGGTCAATTTCTCAGTGGGGAGGGTAGGTGAATGACATGCTATTACTTTTCATACCAAAGGAAGGGTGGGCAACTGCACAGGGCCTCTCAGCAACTAACAACAACAACAACAATAACAATATCAATAACAATAATAATGTTTGTAACCCGCACCAAACAGTTAAAACACATTGCCATAAAATATATACAATAAAATGCATTAAAAACATGGCACATAGATTAAAATGTGTACCTTTTCAACTTTTGAGCTGAAATAAACCATTCAAAACAGAATCAAGACTTCCCTTTCCTATCACACATATTTAAAAGGATAAAAACTAGGAAAGGGGGAGGTTGTTTTGCGGGACTAGAAGAATTTACAAAAAGGGAATGAAGACTATGGATATGGGTTATAGTTAGGAAGGGTGCATATTCTTAGAGGAAAGTGACTGGGGCTAACCTCATGTATTTAAGACCAAGGGAGGTTCTTTAGACAATTCTAGCTAAGCTTAAGAGGAGATACAGATATTCAGGATAGTCACTGTGTCTGTTCATTTTTTATTTTATTGTATAAGAATGACAAGCAAAAACAAAAATTACAATAACTAATAAAACATATACATTACAACGTCCTAACAAATCCTTTCCCATCTTCCTCACACCAGTGAACCGACCACCTATGACTTTTGTCATTATTTACTGTGAACCTTATATCTAATAAACCTATATCTAAAAATCCAACCCCGACTGGGACCGCTTTCTACCTGGAAACCAATGCCTTCACTGTGGGAGAAGATGCGGGTCAAGGATAGGGCTCCACAGCCACCTACGAATCCACAAGGAAACCCATCATGGAAGACCATCTTACTCATCCAACGAGGGATCGCCTAAGTATCTAATAAACCCTAAAATTATTACTAATTTAGTAAATTCCCTTTGCAGCTACTTTAAAATCTACATTTGTCTTTTTTTCCCAGAGATTCAAATGCCAAACTCCATTTTTGGTGAACTTTTCATTCCCCCCCCCCCCTCCCCCAAATACCATTAGATAGCTTGGCCATCTAACTTTTCTCTCTAATCCTTTTCTCTCGAATAACTTTTCTCTCTAACCCTTTTTGGATAGTTCTTTTTCACCTTTCCAAGATATCGCTATTGTCAGTTTGGCAGCAACAAAGTTATTTTGACAAATTTCTTCATCCCCTAAATAGTCCTAGAAGACAGATTTCTGGGTTTTCTGGAACCTATTTTCAAGTCTGGTGGATTTATAGAATGGTTCGAGATTTTTGTAAAAATGAGATTAAATAAAAATGAGATTAAGTAAATAAACAAAATGATTACTAATAAGGTTAAAAAAACCCAGTATAGTGACTTTCGACTCTTACCAGCAAGACCAAATGATAGATAACAACTTCTGATTTTATGTAAAGAGGGCTACAATACTGCCATGTCACTGTAAGGAACCTTCTTTTTGTTTCCCTGCAGGATAGTATATCTGCTTAGTTATTAACAGAAAGAGGCTTCCAATGTCTGACATTATATCCAATTACATCCAATTATAGAGTCTTAAGATCACTTCAGTGCTACATTTGAATCTACCTCAAACTTTGAGACCTGCTATATCCTTACAAGAATGCTGTACGCAACATGCTGAATCCATTTAGTGAAGCCATCTAAAAATAACCGAAATTTCTGGGTGAAAGCAGCAATTCTCTTGCAAGGCAGAGGTATAAAGGGATGATAAAGATCAGGAGTTGGGAAACTTTAGGATAGCGATCAAGATTAGGGATCAGGAGTATCTAGTAGTAGGGAAATCTTGCATCACTCTCCCATCATGTCTAGTTAGTACTGCCAATAGACAACAATGGTGGGAACTGTAGACTAACAAGTAGCAGCTCACTGCTACCCCTCTTGTTGTTGCGTGCCTTCAAGTCATTTCTGATGTATAGTGAAACGAAGGTAAACCAATCATCAGCAAGATTTCTTCACCAAGGGTTGACTTTGCCTTCCTCTGAGGCTGAGTGTGACTTGCCCAAAGTCACCCAGTGGGTTTCCATGGCCAAGAAGTTCTGGTCTCCTGAGTCATAGTCCAATACTCAAACCACTACACCATGCTGGCTTCCTCACCATTATTCGATTTCTGTCCTAGCCCCTTAAATGAACTGAATGTACTCTTAGAGACTGAAGACAAATTCAAATACACAACAGGAATAATATACACAATTAGGACAGCAATTTGTGCCCATGTTTCATTTATATAGATTGCTAAGGCAATCAAGATAAAACTTTTTTCCCTGATCACGCTTGATCCTGAAATGACTACAGCATAAGTTATGTAGGAGATATGCTCGTTTTTCTTTTAAAACACATATTTCACATTACTGTGCTTTGAGTAAATATGCTAACCAATCTCTCAAATAACATTCCTGTGATCTTTAAAAGGTTTTCTTGACAAACTAGGAGTGAAGGGGGGGATCACACCTCATTCTGAAAATTACACTTGGCTGCAGTTGCCCATAACACATAAAATTGCTATAAACCGAAACATAATGGGAAATTTTTCTTTCTTTCTCTTTTTCAATTTACTTCGTACAATTGCCAGCATTTGGGAGTATAGCCAATTTCCCCTTCTCCCTGCATTGTCAGTCACTTTTTACCTGCTGGCAATATAATCTTTATTAAGACAAGGAAGGAGAAAAATATTTATTTCTTAGAAGTTTCAGTTTCAAAACAAAGGCATATGCATAGAGAAGTGTATCAGAATGAACATTTTAATTATGTTTTTAAATAGCATGATAAGCGCATTT